TGAGGTTTTGTATCATGCGTCAAATAAGAAATGATTTTATGTTACAATCTACAACTTACGACCGATTTGGCAAAGAAACATCACATTTATTTACTTAAACTTACAACCTTTGGAAGCTGAACCATTATGTTTATGCTTTGCTTCCGACTTCCGATCGTTGTTCATATGTATATATATGTTAGTCACAATATAAAGCCAAAAGCATCACATGTATTTACGAAAGAAGAAATCAGAATTTGTTTAAGACTCAAACAAAAGATTTTAAAAAATGTTGGCGTAAAAAAAAAAACTAACAATATTCTATAGGGGACAGCCAATATCACACTACAGTCCCTGTATACAAAAGGCATTTTGTTACACGTACGTGTACGTATTCTTTTTCCCTACAAATACACTCTAAGAAAACGAGTAATCACTAAACTTAAATACGATGTGTCCTGTGTCCGTCTAGGTTTAGACTTTTTGATCTCCGACCAATTCAATCGAAGGCAAAGGTTAATCTAGATAGAAGTTTTACTACAAATTAAATGCAATAAATCTAGAAAGCCGCCCATAAAGATTTGATCTCCATTCCTTAGTGGGCTGCTGCCATGTGTTAATACTTTCAAATTTGGTTTCACATTTTCATTTTGTGGGTTACTATAAACATAATGAATGACCTTGACGAAGTCTTAGGGTTAAACACCAACGACCAACCTAATACCGAAGTATAATCTTTCTACATCATTTTATTCCTCTTAAACTAATTTAAAATGGAGAAAAATAAAATTTCAAATTTTAATTGCACGTGATTAGACCATGATCACGTTTCGGTCGACAACGCAAGTAATTTTAAAACTTAATATGATTTGAAAAAGGTAAAACACCAAGTCAAGGTAAACATTTCCCCCCGAATCTTATATCAACGTGGGTCTAATAATAGAGTTCGTAAGACTTGAACTTGTTAATTTGTTACTACGTTGAATCTTTAAAACACTCTCGACTTTTAATTTGTTTATTTTCTTTTGTCTCTAGAACCTCTTGCTTGATCTAATTTTTTTTTTTTTTTTTTTTGCTTGCTTGATCTAATTGTTTAACTAAAAATAATTTAAACACAAAGTCTACATAATGTTATAATTAGTTATTACCGTGATACCAAGTCGGCTGTAATTTTAACAAAAAAATAGTCTGGTGTACTCCAAAACATTTTTTAAAGAACCATAAATACAAGTATACTTTGTCTCACAATGTTTTTCATAGGATCGTATCTAAAAGTTCTTAAATTTTCAAATGTACCTTATGCATGGGTATATGTTTGTAACGTTCGTTGTCCTAATGTCTGAAAAAAATCTACAAATGCTACTCGTGCACAAAGTTATTCATCATCATTAAAAATATTTATTTATCAAAACTAGATTTTTCAGTTATAAAATTAATTGTGTTTTCATTTATTGATTATAAATAAATATAAATATTAATAATACTTGTTTTTGGTTATATAACAGTTCTCCTTTAAGAAAAACATGTTATATATTGGCATAGATATAAAAAAAAAAAAAAAAAAAAAAGACAGTTTGGCTGTAGGTGATAGCAACACTTAAAAAAGAGATTTTGGCTGTAGGTTTGACTTTATGGAAGCATATTTTGTCCCCACGAAAATTAATACTACTACTTTTATAGAAATCAGAAAATTTCAGTTAAGTTTCCTCATAACGGAAACAAGTTTCTTTCAAACGCTCGCTCTCAGGAACCCGTTATAAATAATCCTCAAATGCTCCCATTCATTTATATCACAAAGCAAGCTGACCCATAAAAAAAAATCACACACATTGTTCAATTTATTCTATCGGATAAATGTCTCAGCTACTATCCAAATTAGCCTCTAGTGACAAACACGGAGAAGCTTCGCCGTACTTTGATGGTTGGAAAGCTTACGACAATAATCCTTATCATCCAACTCATAATCCACATGGTGTTATTCAAATGGGTCTTGCCGAAAATCAAGTTCGTCTTCTTAATTACATCCTAATGAGCTCGTTACTTTTTTTTTGTCTTCTTCTAATAAGTTTTCTGTTTAATTTTATTTATTATGGTTTGCTTTCAGCTTTGTTCAGATTTGATCAAAGAATGGATAAGGAAAAATCCACAAGCATCTATTTGCACGGCGGAGGGAATTGACTCTTTCTCCGACATTGCTGTTTTTCAAGACTATCACGGTCTCAAACAATTTAGACAGGTATTTTTCTCATTTCTTATAACTTTGTATTAATATTATATATGATCATTTATTATATAAGGTATATACTTATATGTTACAGTATCAAGTATTTTTATGATTAACTATATATTAAGTTTATAAAACAAGAGAAGTGGTAAGTTTAATATATATAATATAGCTCATTTACGTAATCTTGTTTTAACTTACATTTATGGAAGATTATGAATTGAATTTATTCTAATATTCGAAATTTGAGATGTGTAGATTACTAGAACTAATAATTTGTTTCTAAATAATGTTTTGTTCGGGGACGGAAAAATAAAATAGGCGATTGCGGCGTTTATGGAGAGAGCGAGAGGCGGACGGGTGAGTTTTGAGGTGGAGAGGGTGGTGATGAGCGGAGGAGCCACCGGAGCAAATGAGACGCTCATGTTCTGTCTTGCTGATCCCGGCGATGCTTTTCTCGTCCCTACTCCATATTATGCAGCGTACGCATTTACACACACACACACACATATTTTACTAGTATTCATATAAATATTGTTTTAATTGATAGTTAAAAAGACAAATAAATTAGTGATTTTGATGTTACAAAAATAGAATTAGTGATTTTGTTACTGTATAACTTTTTGCCTGGTCAAAAACAAAAGTCTCTTTTGATAAGGGTTTTCAAAATATACCTCATTTGATTGATTCAATATTTTGGTAAGCAACCCCGTCCACACAAGTTACAACTTTCATCACATTGTCCATTGACTCTTCACAAAAGTCACACCATTAATTAACACTTGCATGACTTGCTCTTCAGTACTAATTCATGGGTTTATTAAACATTTCAGATTCGACAGAGACTTAAGGTGGAGAACTGGAATTAGAATAATCCCTGTGGAATGTAACAGCTCAAACAATTTCCAGGTTACAAAACAAGCCCTAGAATCAACGTATCTTAAGGCCCAAGAAACCGGTATCAAGATCAAAGGCCTGATCATCGCAAACCCATCAAACCCTCTTGGAACATCTCTTGATCGAGAAACTCTTGAAAGCCTTGTCAGCTTCATCAACGACAAGCAAATTCATTTAGTATGCGACGAAATCTACGCAGCAACGGTTTTTGCAGAACCGAAATTCATCAGTGTTGCAGAGATCATCCTAGAGATGGTTCATGTTAACCGTGATCTGATCCATATCGTTTACAGTCTTTCAAAGGACATGGGTCTCCCCGGTTTCCGGGTTGGAGTGGTTTACTCTTACAACGATGTTGTTGTGTCCTGCGCAAGGAAGATGTCGAGTTTTGGATTGGTCTCGTCGCAGATACAAAGTTTTGTAGCTGCTATGTTGTCTGATCAAAGGTTTGTCGATAACATTCTTGTTGAGGTTTCAAAGAGAGTAGCAAAGAGACACCATATGTTCACGGAAGGGCTTGAAGAGATGGGGATTTCTTGCTTGAGAAGCAACGCAGGTTTATACGTCTTGATGGATTTAAGGCAGATGCTTAAGGATCAGACATTTGAGTCCGAAATAGCGCTTTGGCGAGTGATTATCAATAAGGTCAAGATTAATATCTCTCCTGGCTCGTCGTTTCACTGCTCTGAGCCAGGTTGGTTCCGAGTTTGCTTTGCTAATATGGACGAAGACACACTCCAAATTGGACTTGAGAGAATCAAAGACTTTGTACTTGGAGACAAAGCCTCCAAGAACAAGAATTGTAACTGCATTTGCAACAACAAAAGGGAGAACAAGAAACGTAAGAGTTTTCAAAAGAATCTCAAACTGAGTTTCTCTTCGATGATGTATGATGAACATGTTAGGTCACCAAAGTTGATGTCCCCTCATTCACCGTTGCTCCGAGCTTAAAATTGGTTTTATGATTATACTCAAATAGATTGTGTCTATTAGTCTATATCTATGTTACAAATTACATGTTTCAATAAACAAAATTCAGATTGAAACTATCTAACTATCGATATTTATATAAAAATAAGGATGAAGTTTTAATTTTGCATATGTTTTGCTCGTAAATTGCTTATTTTTTTAATTTATTTTTAATCAAAATTTACAATAGTAAACTAGAACTTTGATACAAATTTAAATATCACTTTGGACTTGAGATATATTTGGATTGATCATGTGTACATGCCAAATTTTAAATTGTTCTTATTTTAGTTAATTACAAATTATAAATTTTTAAAACATGTCAAAATCTAATCAGAAAGATTTGATTAGCTTTTTCTCTGATTTTTGTTTTACTAGATAGAAAGATTGTCATTTGTAAATCGCAGATATATAAAGATACTCTCTTAATTTGTTGATTATGATTTACTTCTTTTCTTATAGATGTTGTGTTAACTTAAATTTATACCATTTGTTTTTTTTGGTAGGAAAATTTATACCATTTGTCGAATAAAAAGAAACTTTATCCTTGTTTTAAAAAGAAAGTATATCATATCGCTAGAACTCTTTAAAAAATGTTACTTTGAATTATCTTTTCTTAAATCAAAAATTTTATTATCTTTTTTTATTTCATAAAAATATTATATCTATTTTTTGCTATAATTTTTTTCTTTTTCAAATTTTCAATTAATGATTTTGACCCAAACTATCCATATAATGAATAAATCCATCCGTAATTAATGATAAAATAACAAAGGCAGAAGAAGGATTACTATAAATATAACTTCCCTAATTTATATCAACACATCACGGGATAGTAATATTTATTACGATTTACTATCTTAATAATACCTAAAATTTGTGGTACATTTCTCGTCTACCTACATCCATACATTTTGTTGTGATTTCTAAAAACTTAGGAAGGTGTATATAGTTCTCGTTCATTATTGAATTGTGATTTTCCTTTCGAATTTTCTTCGACATCAATGTTCATATACACACCACAGTTTATTAAACAAATCGAAATTCTGATGACTATTTTTGGTTTTTTATTTCACAGAATCTTTTGGAAGATGAGCTCAAAAAAAGGGACTACGCCGCAATGTTTCTTCAAGCCAAAGAAATATTTCAGGATGTTGTTTCCAAATAGCTCAAATTTATCATCTCCAATATTGAACAACTTTGAGTCATCATTAACCGAGAGATTGAAGAAACTCATACCTCAAAACAAAGATGAGATTCTCACCTTACCTTGGATGATTATTGCTATGGAATTACTTTATGATACACATAATGATATAAACATCATGATCACTGATCTCAAGCTTCATGATATGACTGATCCGGATCATGGATCTTGGTGTGAAGTTTACATGAAAATAAATGTAAAATTTCTGGATCTTTTTAACGCTTTTAGCTCCTTGCTCTTAAGCATGAACCATGGCATTTTATGCTTAAAGCTCCTTAGGCATAAATTAGAAATGAAATCTGAGGATCAATGCACTGAGATTTGTTCCACACTTGATAGTTGGAGGGAAAATATTACCGCGGAAATCTCTAAATGCCGCAAAGTTCTTGGGAGATATGTTAAATCATTAAACTTTCATAAAGTCAAGAATTGTATCAAAGTAGCAAAAGTTTTTATGAAGGCGTTTTATGCGGCTAATGTTCTTACGGCTTATATCTGCAGTGTGTTTGTGATAGTTTTGTCGAATTCCGACAAAGATATTTTGCCTATACATGTCTCGAAGCAATCATTGTGGAAAAAAGATTTCTTGGATTTGCAGACTATCGTAAACGTCAAAACAAGAGATATTCTATCCTCTGATGGAACAATGGTACTTAAAGAGTTAGAATCTGTTGCTGCCAAAATGAAGAAGATGTATCTTACAATTCAAGAAGGTGATGATCTTGTTCAAGAATTGTTTGAGGAATCTATTGTGGAATGCAAAGAAGAAGTCGAGAAACTGGATCAAAGGGTAGATGAACTCTCAAGGAAAATTGACAACTTGTCTAGTATAACCTTTAAAGGACGTCAAACCATTCGTGAAGGTTTATTTGATTCAATGATAAAGGAGTTAACTCATGAACCACATATATAATAATTAAATCTCATTTTTTCTTTATCTTTAGACCATGCCTCTAAATACCATATATGTACATTAAATCCATTTTACAACTATTTAGAAACAAATAAATTGAACTCATGACCTTATATTATCTTCTTCTCGATTGAGCATATTTTTAATTTTACTCATTTTCTCTCAGTATTGTCATCTCTTTAAGTAAGTACTGAACAAGTGAACAACAAAACCCTATAGGAGGCCATAGGAGGCCCAATTGATCGTATTAGAATCCATAGAAGGCCCAATATCTCGATGATTGTTTTTTTTTAAGGGTTTCTTTACAATTTCCACAGCCAGCATTCTTCCAATTTTGAGGTTTCTCAAAACAAATATTGATATGACGAGCAACAAGGATAATGACTTGAAGAAGAAGAGTGAAGGTAACGTATCCATAGAAGATCGTGCTAGCAAGCTCATGGCCGAAGGAGATACGCTGTTCAAAAACAAAGATTGGGCTGGTGCTATCAAGATCTACGAAAAGGGGCTTCATTGCCTCACCAAGGGCCACAGATACAGAGCTATGTTTCATGACAGACTTTCGTATTGTTTGATGCACATTGAACCTATCAACTATAAGATGATAGCCAGTCAGTGTTCCAAGGCGCTTCACATTAAGCCTGATGATTCTCGACCACTTTTAAGAAGAGCTCAAGCTTATGAAGCTCTTGGAAAGATTAGCATGGCTCTGGCTGATTTAAATAAGCTTTTAAAAGCTAACCCCACTCTCGAAAAGGCCAAGGACATGTGGTATAGGTTATCCATGATACAGGAGTTAAAGAAAAAACGTGCAATCGAGTTTAAGGCATTGGAGGAGGAGTGGGAGAAAGAAGCTTCTGTTGATAAGGAGGCATTGGAGGAGGTACGGGAGAAAGAAGGTTCTGTTTCTTCTGTTGATCTTGCGATCGAGAAATGGGACGAGGAATGGGAGAAAGGAAGTTCAGTTTCTGATGAGATGGAGGAATTAAATAAAACAGGTTCAGCTTCTAATGAGGTGAAGGAATTAGAGATCATGGAGCTGTCCTTTGAAAAGCTGTTCAGTAGGCTCTTTGGAAAGGAAGAGATACGTATCCTGATGGCCGGTCTTGATGCTACTGGTAAGACAATGATCATGGACAAGCTTAAGCATGGAGAGATCATGATCACTACGACTGCAACCCTTGGTGAGTTCTTAAACGCTTTCTTGGATGGGAAATTGACACCAATTTTTTCTGCATTCATCTAAATAGTTTGGATAGAATTCTTAGATTTTGGTTGGAATGGATTTGTTGATATAATTATGAAATAAATTTTTAGTTTCAAACTTGAATAAATATTTTCGTAGGTTGGTCTTTTTCTACTTGTTCAAAGGTTGACAATTCTTTCTTTTCTTTGTTTGTTGCTAGATTGCAATGTGGAGACTGTGGAATACAAGAACATTAACTTTAGCGTGTGGGATGTCTGGGGTGAAGACAAGGTATTGTCATTACATTCCTTTGTAATGCATCTATCTAGAATTAACAAGCTAATTCCAGCTATTCCACTATAACTGTGTGTTTTTTTTTTGTTTGCTCATCCAGAGGCACTACTTCCACCACACACACGGGCTGATCTTTGTGGTGGACTGCAATGACGGTGACAGTATTGTGGAAGCTAAAGACGAGCTTCACTTAATGATGAAAAAGGTACATACAACTCAAAACATATCAATTTTGATTTGACATTCTTATATATGCTTCCTTTGAACTGTTGCAGGGTGAGTTGAGAGATGCAGTGCTTCTCGTCTTTGCTAACAACCAAGCTCTTCCAAACGCGATGAACACCGATGATATAACTGACAAACTTGAGCTGCACTCTCTCCATCAACAAGTCTGGTAAGCTTAAACAAAGAAAAAAAAAAACTAAACCGTAACATCTAGAAACAGGAAGATGATGTAAATCGTTGGTGGCTTTTAACAGGTGCATCCACGAGACTTGTGCTTCCTCTGGATATGGGCTCTATAAGGGACTTGACTGCCTTTCCAAGAACATCGCATACAAGGTATAATATAAAAAATTTAGTGTCTACAACTTTTGTAGTTTAACTTTGTATTGCTGAAGACTTCATCAAACCAGTTGTTTCACTCTCTTTTTTTTTTTTGCTTGTGTTGTTAGAAGGATTTTAGTGATGCAGAGCTCATAATAGATACTGATCTTTTGGAATATTTCTTTGGGGAGAAAATATTATGTGAGTTTGGGGCGAGACAACGAGAACAAGGTTCTAGACTACTGACAACTTCGACCTTGTATGGAATGGAAAGATAGATCGTGGCAGCCATATCAAGAAAAGGTAGTTATTTACGTTTCTGTGTTACTAAACACCATTGGGTGTATTTGAATTTGTTGTAAAAGATGCATTGAAACATAAAGTGTGTTCCAATTTCAGTCTTTGGGTAGCAAGCAGAATCCGCATGTAGTTGAACACGAAATGGAGTTGAATCCAAAGCAGAAGCCCACAACGTGTTGACAATACTACTTCTTGCAGCAGAAGCTCACAAGGTGTTACACCGTATCCAACTTCTGCTAGGTCAAGACATAAGGGGCAGTCGAAGGTTAGAAATTACAATGATTATGTTGCTGCTAATAAGCGGTCTTCCAACTTCTTGTGTTGATTCTGTTTCTTTGTGAACAAGTAACCATTGAGTCCAGTCTTGTCTCAGCTTCTCTGTTTCGTCTCCCAATCTCACTTTGATTTGTTCACTTTCTATGGATACAACACATATACTTGTTCTCACAGATAATCTCTGCAGAGAAATTAGTAAATTTGAAATTATGTTTTAGATTACAAGATTGCTAACTCATTTGATAACTACAAGTCTTAAGCTCAACATTATCAATCTCCAACACATCAGTCGGAAAATCACATCCACCGTCAATCATCTTCTTCTTCGTCTCCGATTCTTGTCCATCAAGCAAATCACAAGGCTTAGGATCAACACCACTCGTAACACCTTCAACATCACTACACATCCAAATCGCTTTCTTATGTTTAGCCGCCATAGAAATCGTTGCATTCGAAATACAAATCCCAGTAAACGGATCTCCAGAGATTCCCTCTAACCTTCCCGCCATAGAAACATTCTCAGCTACAATATCTCTGTAATTAATCCCGGTTATCTCCGGTAGAGCGTGAGGATCATAATGAGAATCAGCATGAGCTTTGTAATTTCCGGTCATCCAAAAAACCCATTTCATCGTGTGTAGATTCATTCCTTTAACGTATATGTTCTTCACGAAAGCTCCTCTTCCCACGGCGGTTTTTATCCGTACGCCGGATTCTGTTTGGTATGCGGTGATATCTTCCGCTCTCACGTCTTCGATTCCGCCGGACATTTCGCTTCCGAGAGCGATCGCGGCGCTGTAAGGTGAGATACAGGTTAATCTACGGATCACGAGGTGCTTCGTCGGCATTCCGAATGAGATTCCGTATTCGTCCCATCCGCTTTTCACGGCGATGCAATCGTCCCCGGAGATTATGTAACAGTCTTCGATCCTCGTGTTCGTGCAAGAATCTGAACTCAAAATCAAAATTAGAGAAACAAAGTAGGAGAATTTGGAGTAATTCGAATTGATTCCGAGAATTTGGCGGCGACGAACCTGGATTGATTCCGTCGGTGTTCGGAGATTTCACCGGAGCGATGATCGTAACGCCTTTCACGATGATATTGCTGCCACGTTGGATATTTTAATTAATAAATTAAATCGTACGGTGGTTATGGTGAGGGTGCATGGTATTAGATGAGAGTGTGACACAGGATATAACTTTACCTACTATACACTGGGTGGATGTTCCACGATGGAGAATCAAGGAACGTTAGATTTGATATCTGAATTGTATCTGAGAACATTAACTCAATCAGGTACGGGCGAGTGTATTTTAGCTTGCCACCGTGGAATTTTTGCCACCAAAACGATCCTTGACCGTCGATTGTACCGTTGTTCCCTGCAAATAACATCCAACGGCTCCGGTTTTTTCTTTCAAATTTTTCGAATTATTAAAAAGAAAAAGAAGAATGAAACTTTACCGGTGATAATTACGTCGGAGAGATTAGTTCCGAAGAAGAGACTAGCGAATCTTCCACCGGCGGCGTCACGTCCTCGTCCGTAAGAAGGCAAAGCCTTTAGAATTGGGTATTCGTTTAAGTCTTGAGCAGCGAGAAGAATTGCGTCTTTGTGAAGAAACAGAGTGAAATGGCTTGTGAGGTTGAAACTACCGGTGAGCCATTTCCCGGCGGGTACAAAGAGCTGAGCTCCACCGTCAGATGAGTATTGGCTGAGATGATCTACGGCGCTCTGGAAGGCCTTTGTGTTTAGCGTCTTGCCGTCTCCGACACCACCATACTCTGTTATGGAGGCACTATGTGATCTGCAAGTAATTGCTGTGTACTCGAATGTTTCAAATGACTGTAATACCCTTCGTCCTTGAGAAGTGGTTATGAGGTTTGAGAGGGTTATGATGGTAACTATGCAAGCGAGTATGTTCTTCATGGTTTTGTATCTGAAAAAGAAGAATGAGAGAGAGTTAGATTAGGGAAAAAGTTTGAGTATCGGATTAGTTACTTAAGTTAGTTAAATAGGGCAATATAAAAGGTTGTATCTTAAAAAAAAAAAAAAAAAAAAAAAAAGGTTGTATCTTTTTTCGTAGTTTGGTAAATGGGTGCATGTGAAAGGTTAGTAATTGTTGAAAAGTTTTGTTTATTGAGAATGAGAGATAATCAATGAGTTTTGTTGAACAACTTTTGGGTGAAAGAAAAAGAGAGTTTTATGTAAATGAGACATAGTGAACAACTAACATTTGAAAGCAAAATGGTGGAATTGTTTATAAATGTGTGTGTGTTTGTGTTTGAGAGAGAGAAAGAGAATTACTTGTGACTTGTGAGCCCTTTGTGAGTGTGGAGAGGCTAAATGGTTTGATGAGGATGTAAGTGGAGAAAATATGAGTATTTATAAGCGGATAAAAATAATGGAGAAAAGAAGAAGAAATATTCAAACTTTTTGTCTGAATGTTTGATGATCTTATAGCTCTGCAATGATTTTATCACTTAGTGGTATCAATTGATTGGAAGATATAGCGGTAACAGTGTCTTTCGAAAATGCTGAAGCAGTAGCAAATAGAGACATATCCTTATTGTGGCTAATATACTAGAAAACAAACAGAGGTTTATAGTTGGTGTGGCCATAATTGTTTTAAACGTAACGATGAAGTTCGAGTACTGACTATGAAGAGGAGATTAAGTTAACTTATTATGGTCTCTAGCCTGAATGGATTATGTGTATAAGGTATTAAGGTTGTGTCATAACTCTAAATCGAATTCATAATCGTGTTCATTGCTATACGTATTATAGAAAATCATATAACGATCATTCGGCTCAATCACAAAATCTTCTTTACATGTGTTGCATGTATCTTTCCAAACATATAACAATCATAATTTGTTTAAACTAGGAGAGAATGTGAGGTGAGTACAACGTCAATTCCTTTACTTCGTTTGTTTATTCACGGGTTTTAATGTGTGAGGTTTTTTTTTGCATCTGAAAAGGATATGATACAAGAATGGGTGATTGTCTCTTTGTGACTTGTGACTTATTATGAGAGTAGAGTATACATACATCACTTGTTTGTCTCTTTCGACGTGGCTACTAAGTTTTACATTACCATCTTATACTACTCGGTAGTTACTACTTACGGCAATTAGTTTTTATAAAGAAAAAGTTCGAAATAAAACTATCTTAAGTGAAGTAACATGGACTATGCAAATTTGGGGGGCATACAAGAGCATCTCCAATTATGCATATAACATATATGGGAATGAGAATGTGTGAAGCCATGTTAAGTCATAAGATAAGCTTACAGATTATCCTTAATATTTTGTCTAATTTTCATTATTGTTGTTTTTTTTTTTTTTCATAAAAGAGCATCTCCAATTTTGTTATTGTTGCTTTTCTGGTTTTGTAATTAGGCTCTCGTGAACTTTGGGGTTGTCCCACTTTCACTCCACTCATCCCCACTTCTGCCGACCCACTTCTGCCGCCTCCATACTTACTCACGGTCACGGGTGCTTATGCTTATCTTACTTTTCAGTTTTTATTATTAATACAACTCTTTTTTTTTTTTCTCGGAATTTTTTATAAATTTGAATCTAGTCAGCATTCATATACTCTTGTTCCAAAATTTGTTGATTTGAATAAACAGAACATGTTACACTAAATAGTAAATTAAAATACATATACGTTATCTTTTTTATGTTGGATTTATATACACGCACATTCCACAAAATGCACAATTTTTTTTCCAATTTTTTTTCAATTTCATGCTGTAACAATTGGATTACTTAGGCCAAACATGATATGACTTCTACATTTCTTTTCCTTTCTATTGAGACCAAAATAACTAAATAAATAGTAAAAGTATGTGAGGTGATGTATTTCTTATTTCTTCTGAAAATTAATGTTATCTACACGAATGCGAAAACTCAGGCAGAAAATGTTTAATGTGAACAAGCTTCAAAAATATAGTGATTTATCAAGAGATGGAACCTCTATTGCTTTCTTCTCGTGAGGTCGCTGAGAGTTTTTCCTCTAAAATCTGAAGCAAGTCATGGTACTGCGCGAAAGCCAAGTGAGACTGAAACAAAGAACAAGTTTTTAAGAGGAGACCGTGACACGTGATGAAGAATGGGGATAGATTGTTATGGAAACAAGAGTTTGTTACCTCTAATGTCATGCTATATGCTTTCCACAACCGTAGATCATACCGGAAAATATCATAAAGAACCTGCGTAAAACAATCTGGTAATGTCACTGTGATGCTTCAAAGTTGTGATAACTGTGGAAATCGAAAAGATTATTACCTCGGACCGTTGTAAAAGAGTGGCAAGAACAACTATCCATTCTTTGAATTTGACAGAACACATCTGAGCCAATAGAAACTCTGCATCTAACCTGTTCTGTAGCTCACTCATTTGCAGCTGAGGGATTTCAATTGTTAGACTTCGACGTAAGATAAATTTACTCAAAAATGCTGACTTTTACGATGCCATAGGGATCTATGTTTTAGTTTTCAAATTGTTTCAAGCAGCAGAATGAAAAGAAAAAAAACGAGTTTTGAGCATCAAAGAAACCACAATGGAGTTGATTCTTACCTTTTGCCCAATCAGTTCAAGTCCTGCAGCGAAATTCTGCAGCTGCGCACAACCATATCTTTCTCGTTGAAGAAAATCCTGGAATTTTGGTATTGTTAGTGAATATATACCTTACTGGGTCCAAGCATAAAACTGTGTGTAAGGTATAGATTGTCATCGTACCACGATATCAAACTGGGTGCCTTTGACGAATGCAACAAGCTTTGAAAGTTCTTTACCAGACATCAAGTAACTGGCATGACTTTCAAGTATGCTCTTTACAGAAGCAACATGAGGACTTTGCTCTTTGAATGAGGAGCTGCATCAGAGTCGCGTTATTCAAATGAAATTGATCAGAAGGCAATTGTATCACTCTAGAAAATCAAAAACCAGAATCAGAGTTGTAGTTTTTACCTCTTATCAAGTGATGATTTCTTATGGCTGGAACCGAAAAT